ATGATGCTGCTTGGCCTGCTGTGTTCATCCAGCCCTGCACCTTGTTGACATGGGATACTCTCAAGGTTCAAAAATCATCTTTTGTTCTTATTCCCTCAATTTCCCTCTAAGGCTTTAAAAGAATATATCCCTCATCAGTTGTAATTAGCATCCAAACCAATTTTATCACAGTGATCATGAAGTAAGCTATGGCCTAGATTCCTGGCTTTAATTTATTTGTAGCTTGATGCAATAACAAATGACAATTGGCACACATAATTCTGCTAAATCAGCATGTTGGGCAGAATGAGTGGCCGAATCAATAGCTTACAACTGAAGCTGGAATATTTTAGTTTAATCAATAACTGCAATAGAACAAAATGTAATGAATGATTGAGTTTATAAAACAACAAACTGTGATTGTGCGCACCAAGCTCTTAGCCATTCTTATTTAACTAGCAGTCATCCACATGACTACCTGACATTTGAATAATATGTCAGAGAATCCTGCTTGACTGGTTTTATTTCAAGGAGCTTCATGAAATGAAACCCCAGGAACCAGGATTGGAAGAATCAGGATCAATAAAGAACGGGGTGAGAATGAGGGGAATAGAGCAGAAAGGAGATAGGTTGGATATAAACAAAACCACAGGTCCTTTTACATTATGGGAAAGCGGCTGACACCCATTCTCCTGGCACTGTCTCTATAAACTGTTGTTCTACAAACTTTCCATTGCAATATGGATGCCCATTTCAGAAACATAAATGTAGCAAACCATCTCCTATACTTTCATCTACCAGGGGATTCATATTCTTGCCAGCAAGGCAAGCAAACAGACGTCTGTAGCCTGAAATGGGCAGGCTGTCCATGACAGGTGCCAACAGCTCATCCACATTATTTAAATGATTCCTGAGGCTCAGAAGGGCAAAGTTAGAACCATAGAAATGATACATCACAGAAGGGGACTGTACAGTCATCTTGTCCATGCTGATCCAAAGACACCCAGATGCCCTTTCTAATCCCATCTTCCTGCACACGGCCCTAGCCCTGCAGCTTATGGCACTAAAAGTACAGATCCAGGTACTTTGTGAAAAAGTTTAGGGTCTCTGCCTCCATCACTAACTCAGACAGCGAATTCCAGACACCTTCTACCCTGCGCATAAAAACGGTTTTCCCCCTCACATTGCCTCCAATCCTTCTGCCACTTCGCTTGAATCTATGACTCCTGGTTTTTGAATTCTCTATTAAGGAAAACAGGTTCCTCCTGTCTATCTCTATCCCTGACAATTTTGTATACCTCAAACATGTCACCCCTTAGCCTTCTCCTCGTAGTGACAATTTTCCAGCCCTGGTAACATTCTAGTAAATCTTCTCTGCACTCTCTCCAGAGCAATTACATTTTACATTTGTTTTGTTGGTGGAATTCCCTCCCTAACTGCACCGGAACTGCAGGGGTTCAAGAAGACAGCTCATCACCACATTTTCAAACGCAAATAGGGGCAGGCAATAAATGCTGGTCAGACAGTGACACCCACATCCCATAAATAAATAAAAGAAACCAGAGAGTGTGCTCTATCAGTGTAGTACTGCAGAATGCTGAAGACTGCTTGTTTCAACTGAGGAGTTAACTTAAGGCCCTGTCTGACTGATGTGATGGGGGCAAACATTTCCCGTTTCGAACAGATGGTCTACCAAGAAAAATGACTCCAAAAAAAATTCACTGGGCCCACTGACTCCACCAAACTTTCCAGTACTTTCCTGAAGTATTACTTTAAATTTTCCATTAAGAAGGCAATGTTATTGATGAAAATGTTCAATTATCATAAAGGCTTCTTACCACTTATGTCTCCCACGTAACAGTAGACATCATATGTCTCGTTCGGGTCTCGTATTCCATATGTCCTGACACCTGGTTGTCCCCTTTTATCTGCATAGCAGCCAGGTCTTGGTTTGGTGATTGGGTATCTAAAAAGCAAAAAACAAAAGAAAAAATCACTGTATGATACTACTGTGGATTAGTCAGTGAATATCTGAGTAACAAACTTGATCAACAGAACTCAAATGAAGTTGTATTCTTTTCCCTTTCATTCTCCAAATGTGGATGATACTGGAAAAGCTACATTATTGTTTAATACTGGTTATCCTGAGAAAAGTGGTAGAATGTTTTATTGAATAACAATTGCTGAAGAGAATATAGGGGTTCACAATATTGTTTAGAAAATCAGGTAGGGTGTGAGATTCTCTTTCTTGAAGGGCATAAGTGTAACAATTGGCTTTTCACAACACTCCAGAAATTTTTATGCTTTTTTTGGCACACTAGGCTAACATTATTATATTAATTCAAATTGTACAGGTTCCAATTGTGAGATGTGGACTCATAGAATGGAATCTTCTTGTTCCCCCCCACTGCCCAACCATTGGAGATGGGGTTAGAGATGGGCCCTTCAAATCTTCCAATGGTGCAATGGGTTAGCTCCTCAAACATTCCCACTTCCAGAAACAGGAGGTGCCCCCACAGTCATCTACATGTTTCAGCTTTCATGGTGGGTGTGATATCCATCAATACCTTCAAAGTCTTTTGTTAGGCCTCTAACTTCAGGAGTCTGTACATCTTTATTAATTGAATGGCAACTGCCTCCATGAAATTAGCTGCTTCCTGTAGGATCACAATTTTGTGCCGTCAGCAGTCAGGTCCAGAAGCAGGTACTGATCCAAATGGTGTCTCTTGAACCTTCTGATACCACCTGGATCAATTCTTGTTTTTGGTCTCAATAGAAGAAATATTTAAGAGGTGGTAGGACTCCAACTTGCATTTCTGAATTATCGCTTAGTACTGTAACCACATGGTGAAATAACACTGTGTGATAATGTGAAGTCCTATAAATTGTCTCAGTAGAGAGGTACAATGTAGAACTGAGATATGGATTGACATCAATAATGGCCCAAACAATCTACAATCTTGATTAAGTCATCACAGTGAGGCATAAATCTTTCTTTTGAAGGGTGCCTTTCACGTGTTCAGGATGTTCCAAAGCATCTTAGCATCTTACAGCCAATGAATCACTTTTAAAGTGTAGTTGCTATTTTTCAATCAAACCTATGGCTCTTTGTTAAAGTGTCATGATCTTTTTTACATCATCTTAATAGTCAGACAAGGCCTTTGGTTAATTTCTCAATTAATAGACAGTATTTTCATCAATGCAACACTCCCTTAGTAGTACACTGAAGCATCAGCCTAAATGAGAGTGTAAGGAATAGAAGCCAGAGTAGGTTATTTGGTCCCTCAACCCTCCTCCACCATTCAATAAGATCACGACTGCTGCTTTATTGACATTTGCATGCAAAATCTGTGTTCCTTTGTCTACACAGTTAGTAACACTTTGAGATAATATATTGGATATAAAGCACTTTAATGCCTTGAGAGATGACGTAAGATGATAATTAACTCCTCTACTTTCTGTTTGAGATACCTGTATGAATGTTCCTATGACCACAGTGAGCCACCTTTTGGTGAGAATTGTGAGCTGCTACTGAATCTGTTGACTCCAATTCTCACCAGTTTAATATTCACAGCCAGCTTCTTTCCTCTAATATCACAACATCAATACCAAAATAAAATCAGTACCATCAAAGCTATTGAATGCAGATGTTTGAATTGAAATGGAGAAGCAAAATCACATCATTACACTGCATTGCATATCATTACACTGCATTGCATATCATTAAACAAGTCTTTGTATCCTCAATCTGCATCTGGTGAGAAAATAAATAACCTCTTCCAAATCCAGGTTTTATTACACCACTAATTTAAAAGCTCCTTGAGGCACCTTCTAATCGCAAAGCAGACAGTTGCAAAGAAGTACTGGCAGAATGATCAAAGCAGTAGCTAACATTGTTTTCTCAGTGTACTGCTCCTAACATGAGAAATAACTGGTTGAATTGAAGTTGTAGAGACAATCCATCATTTTAACAGTTATAAATGCAATAGGGGCAATTAAACTTTATGTGCCAATATAAAGGCAAAGGAAGTGGCTCTAGCTCAAAGCCTACAAGCAGATAGTTCAGCTTCCTTAATCAGGATTCCAACAGCACAGGATTTACATGCGTTCTCAACCACAACAATAACTTGCATTGATAAAGCACTTTTAATATGGTAAAATGTCCAAACGCACTCCATAGAATCAGAGAATAAAGCTGTACAGCAGAAGATCACTCATCCCATTGGGCCTATTCTAGTCCTCTGCCAGTGTAACTCAGAGACAGTCCTACAGACCCAACTTTTACCCATAATCCTGTATATTGTTTTGCCTTCATGTTCCTATCTAATTCCCATTCAAACCGAATGTGCATCCACCACACTTTTCAGGCAACACATTCCAGACCTTAGCCATTTGCTAAGTCTCCCCTCAAGTCACCGTTAGTTGTTTTGCCATTCATGTTAAATTCGATGTCTTCTGGATCTTGACTTTTCACCAAACAGAACAGCTTCTCTCTGACTCCTCGGTCTATGCCAGTCATGATTCTGAACCTGTCTTTTGAAGTTCATCTCCAAGGAGAACCATTTCAGCATTCCCAAAGGATTCATGGAACTAAAATCCATCATCTCTAGAATTATTTATGTTAAACTTTTCTGAACCTTCTCCAAACTCTTCACATCCGTCCAAACGTATGATGCCCAGAATGGGATACAATACTCCGGTTGAGGCTAAACCAGAGTTCATCATAACTTCCTTGCTTTTGTACTTAAAAAGCCCAGGATCCGATAGGCCCCTTTTATCACCTTCTCAACCTGCCTTACCATTTCAATGATTTGTGCACTCTCTGTTATTGCACTCCATTTAGATCTGCACCTTTTATTTTGTATTGCATCTTGTTCTTCCTACCATTTCATGCTAAATAGCTAATCTGTTGTTTAACAATTTACAACAAAACACCAGTTTTCTACACAGTAATCAGTTGCTTACCTGACACTTTGATCAGAAAGCCAGCCAGCATCACAATGATCAAACCCATCTTCATACGAGGCTTGCAGCTGTTCTGGGGTTGCAATGGTGGCACTGTTGTCCTGACATACTTGTTTGGCCATCTCGAAGTTCAGTGCGTATCTGCTTGCTGCTGCCCGATAGTGGAATATAACACCTGAGGATGGAATGGCACCCCTCAATAAATGTATTATAGGTATGGGTGTATTTAGTTCCTTCCCTTCCCTTCCCTTCTGGAGGCAGTAGTTCTTGCTAGGGTATACAGTCACATTTGTCCACAGTTCAGGAACTTCTCATTGAATGGTTCATTAGCACAGCCTGTCAGTGAGCCAAGATACCAAGGGACCAGCTTTTCTCGGCTTTAGAAAAAAAAAAGTTGGGGGCGTAGATCAATTCGGACCAGTACATTATGCCAACTGTCAACAAGCACTAGGGAGGTGATGGCCTACTGGTATTATCACTAGATTATTAATCCAGAGACCATGGTAAGGTTCTGGGAAGCTGGATTCAAATCTTGCCGTGGCAAAAGGTGGAATTGGAATTCAATAGAATATCTGGAATTAGGAATCTAATGGTGACCATGAAACCATTACAGAGTCGTAGAGATTTACAGCATAGAAACAAACTCTTCAGTCCAACTCGTCCTTGCCAACCAGACATTCTCAATAAATCTAGTCCCATTTGGCCCCATATCCCTGTAAAGCTTTGATATACCCATCCAGATGCCTTTTAAATGTTGTAATTATACCAGCCTCCAGCACTTCCCCTCACAGCTCATTCCATACACGCACCACCCTCTGTGTGAAAATGTTGCCCCTTAGGTCCCTTTTAAGTCTTTCCCCTCTCACCTTAAAAATATGCCCTCTAGTTTTTGATTCCCCACACCAGGGGCAAGACCTTGTCTATTTACCTTATCCATGCCTCTCATGATTTTATAAACCTCTATAAGGTCACCCCTCAGCCTTCAATGCTCCAGGGAAAATAACTCCAGCCTATTCAGCCTCGCCCTATAGCTCAAACCCTCCAATCCTGGCAACATCCTTGTAAACCTTTCAAGTTTCACAACATCCTTCCTATAACGGGGCAACCTTGTCAGAAAAAACCTATCTGGTTCACTAATGTCCTTTAGGGAAGGAAATTGCTGTCCCTACCTTGTCTGGCCTACGTGTGACTCCAGACCCACAGCAATGTAGGTGACACTTAACTGCCCTCTGTGCAATCAGGGATGGGTAATAAATTCTGGCCTGGCCAGTGATGCCCATGTCCCATGAATGAATGAAAAAAAGCACTGCATTCACATTTCCTTGTAGTGAGTAAATTGGCAGTGGTATGAGGTTTCATCCACATCAGGAAGTCAAACAGGGAAAGCACAATGAAAGGGGATCTTAGAGACTGTGTTCTCGGAGTCCACAAATTGAAAGTTTTCAGAAAGGAGCACTGGCAGCTCTCTTTCTACCTTTATTTCAAAGCCAATCAGAAGGATCCCCAGGGCTATGGGCATTCTGGTTGGCATTTTCGGACAGCAAGTTAAAAACACATTTAGCTTATGTTTGAGAAGGATTATTGGTCGTAATTCAAAATCAAATGGCCTAATAACTCAGTTGGTAATGCTGTGCCCAATAAGTAACTGATGCTATGGGGACATAACCCATTATCAATCCTGCTGTGTGCGGAGTAAGTTAAATTTAGTCTTCTGCTGCAGTTCAGGAAGAATAATTTGCCTCAATGCGTCTGGATTAAGGAGCGGAAAATTCAGCTCATCAACCCATGGCTCTTGCTGAAATTTCATGCACGTGTGGGAAAAGGGATTGATTTTGTGTTGCTCATTTTCACATTTGAAGATAATTTAGATGCATGAGGAGAGTGGTAGTTAAGGTGAAACTGAAAGTGTACCTCAGAGCTAACAGGAAACAAGCGGTGAGGAAGTACTGAGGGAAAGGAGTAGATAGAAGGTTTGTAATTAATGATTGGCATTTTTTTTAAATGCATTTGTGGGATGTGGGTGTCACTGGCTTCGCCAGCATTTATTGCCCAACTCTAATTGTCCAAAGGATAGTTAAGGGTCAACCACATTGCTGTGGGTCTGGAGTCACACGTAGGCTACTCCAATGCTTCCCCTTACCAGATATGAGACAAAATGTTCCGAAAATGTTGGAACAGAGCAATATTAGACGAATAATTGAAGCATCTGTCAGAACAAACACCAGCTGTAACAATTTTTTTGTGTTACCTAGCTTGCATCAACCACAATTGAGCAGCCTTAAAAATCCCCCAACTGCTACAGTCATTATGTACTTCTCACAGGCTACTGTTTGAATGTGATTTAATCCCTGGTAGCACTACATTCTTTTGGAGAAAGAATGTTTTCTTTGCACCTCCAGAGATGGCCTCAAATAAATAGGGGCAGGTTTATGTTCATGGTTTGCCAATTCCTTGCACCATTGTAACATATTTCTGATGTGTATTCATCAGTTCCATCACTGATCACAGAAAGTGATGCCTGTGATGTCTGTAATCTATACCAACACTCCCTTTCAGCTTGAACAAGAATGTAAGAGGCAGGATATTCCCTCGCTGCTACAACAATTCTCCAGTGAATGTGTAAAATGGGTTGGGGGCTTGTTATGCTGGATCACTGCCAACACTGAACTCTGATGTATTTTCTAACAGAAGACAGCAGACTTACATGAACTGTATTTATCATCATTATTACCCTAGAAGCACTGAAGCCTATGAACACTGTAGAATACACTGTCCACTGTTCTTGAACAAAACAGAAGGCTTTAATGAAGTTAAATGCCCATAAGCACAAGGAAAATCAATGCAGGTCATTAATACTTCAGCAGGTTTTGTTTTTGGCTGTTTGCTGCAACTTACCTGTTCTTTAAACTGCTGTAAGTACTGGATTACCACACTAACAACCTTACATCCCACTCTCATGGCCAGTTCATACACATAGGCACTTACATCACCAGTTACCTACCTACCTAAAAAAGTAATAAGACTATGTCCAGGAAGGTCACCTAAATAAATGACAATGCAAGCTGAAATTTTACCAAGTCATCCTTTCAGCCGACCTCAAGAGCTTGATGATTTCACAAGACAAAAATGTTTGAAAATAAACAAAAGATTGGAAATCCTTTCTTTGGAAGAGGTGAGAAGTTATTGAGGCAGACTATTGCACATTACCCTAATAAACAAAAACTAAAATGCAGTTTAGCTCAGGTGGCAAATTGTTTTTCTCGGAAATGTGGGTTTTTTTCAGATAGGAAAGATACAGCTGGCCAGGAAATTCTGAGAATTTTTCTTAGCTTTCACTGAAGTAACAGATTGTTGGTTTGTGGAATCTTACTGTGCATAAAACTGCTGCTACAATTACCCTGATTTAACATGATGACTTTACAAGTCCTTGCACTTAAATGTAATTTACTGTATATAAAAGCATTTTGGACATTGCAGAGGGTTGCTACAATTACCCTGATTTAACATGATGACTTTACAAGTCCTTGCACTTAAATGTAATTTACTGTATATAAAAGCATTTTGGACATTGCAGAGAGTTGTGATAAGGTACATTAAAAATGCAAGTCTTTCTTACAATGTAGAGGATTCATTCTGGAAAAAAATATTTTCAAAATAAAAATCTAAATGTCAGGTGATAGAATGTGGACTGTGCAATTTGCATTTGTAATCAACTAATATCTATCAATCACTGTTGAGGCTACTCATTAATACTGAACACTTGGATGAGGAATGCCACAACAAAACAGAGGTAATTAGCGAAAGAAATTAATATAGTCTATTCTTCTTTTACTTATCTCCTCACTGATATTAGTCTGAAGGATTTGCAGCACCCTGCTCTTACTTTTAGGGTTAGTAACATGCTGGTTTTCTGGCCAGACAGTGTTGCTATAGAAGTGTTGAAGAAACTTTTGAGCGCTGTGAAGCCAAAAATGAGATCACATAGTCACATGTTTTGGACTTGGTGACTGCCATTATTCGATGGCAGTGAGGCATTCAGTAGCTACTCAAGTCCCATCCACAAATTCAACATGTGGAGCTGAATAGACTGGGCACAGATTAGATATGGCAATCAACAGACTATTGTGTACATCTACACTGTCATCAGGAGGGTGGTAACAATGCACATACACATTATATGGGGTCTGTGCAGCTCACCATGCTACTTGTGAGGAGCTCCTGCTACCTGCTGTTTATCCAACAAAGGCTCAACTTTGTAAGTTATTGCAGCCCGTCTGCCTTGGAGGTAAGTAGTCAGAATCTCTTTGTGTTGCGTGCTTTGCAGTAGAGAGTCAGAATAGTTAATTCCATGTGGTAAATTTAGTAACCTGATACCTGATCCAGGCAGTCAACCTGCCTCACTAATAAAACTTGGAGAGCCTGTCTTTGCAACTGGGATTCTCTTCAACAGCATCTAAATAATTTTGCAGGCAGCATCACTGCCAAGTAATGTGGACAAATATCGGGAAGCACGCCGCTATCTGAGGTTACAGAAGTTATTGATAACCTTAATGTCTTATTTGATCTAGAGGTCGGTTTTTGACTCCATATCTTCTCCCTCACAAAAATTGTCTGCTTTGACCTCTGTAACACTGTTTATGTCTGTTCCTACCTCAGTCCCTTTGTTACTGAAACACTTATTTAAATCTATGTCACCTTAAGACTTTGTTACTTAAATAAATCCAGAAACTACTGGAAATACTCAGCAGGTTTGGTAACATCTATGGAGAATTAAACAAGAGTTAATGTCTCATGTTAACCTTTACTCATACCTGCTGAGTTCTTTCAATTTCCAGCATGTTCAGTTTTTATTTCAGATTTTCAGCTTCCACAGTATTTTGCTTTCACAGTGCCAATCCTTGCCTGGCCAGTTTATTGGTCAGCATATGATCCTAACTCCCATTCAACCCTGCTGGCTGTATCCCCTACAATATCACATGCCACACACCTAGCACCTCTTTGCTCACGAATCACTCTTGGTTCCCAGAATCCCTTGCCTCACACTTAAAATCCATGTGTTTATGTTTAAATCTCAAACTCCTCTTTAACTCCTTAACCACCATTCCTTTATACTTGTGAATCTAGCAAGTTGCGAACCCTTCATTTCTTGCCCCACTTTTTATTACTGCGATTTCAGTTGCCTTGTATATTGTATTTTGGAATTTTTAACCAAGCTTCTCTATTTGTACAGCTTTCCGACTTCCTTTAAAATTTCTCCTTAAAACCTAATTCTTTGACCAATTCAGAGACAGTAGGAACTGCAGATGCTGGAGAATCTGAGATAACAAGGTGTAGAGCTGGATGAACACAGCAGGCCAAGCAGCATCATAGGAGCAGGAAAGCTGATGTTTCAGGCCTGGACCCTTCTTCAGAAATGGGGGAGGGGAAGGGGGTTCTGAAATAAATAGGGAGAGAGGGGGAGGCGGATAGAAGATGGATAGAGGAGAAGATAGGTGGAGAGGAAACAGACAGGTCAAAGAGGCGGGGATGGAGCCAGTAAAGGTGAGTGTAGATGGAGAGTTAGGGAGGGGATAGGTCAGTCCAGGGAGGACAGACAGGTCAAGGGGGCGGGATGAGGCTAGTAGGTAGGAGATGGGAGTGGAGCTTGAGGTGGGAGGAGGGGATAGGTGGGAGGAAGAACAGGTTAGGGAGGCAGGGACGAGCTGGACTGGTTTTGGGATGTGATGGGGGGAGGGGAGATTTTGAAGCTTGTGAAGTCCACATTGATACCATTGGGCTGCAGGGTTCCCAAGCGAAATATGAGGTGCTGTTCCTGCAACCTTCGGGTGGCATCGCTGTGGCACTGCAGGAGGCCCAGGATGGACATGTCGTCTGAGGAATGGGAGGGGAAGTTGAAATGTTTCGCCACTGGGAGGTGCAGTTGTTTAGTGCGAACCGAGCGTAGGTGTTCTGCAAATTTGACCAATTCCTCACCTTTCCTCATATCTCTCTCTTTTGGTGTACAACTGAGTATTGTGACTGTAATAATAAGAATCCCTCACTATGCTGTGCAACTGTTGTGTGAATACTGGCGCAATGTCTGCATTTCCTTCCTTTCTTCTAGTTATACATTTTCCACATATTAAAACCATACTGTAAAATTGAAGAAAACTCTATTTTCATCTCCTCCAAACTGGAATACCGCAATTTCTAACTTGGCTTTCTTTTTCTTCAACTTTTATACACTTGTGATCAGTTAAAATAATATCCATTGAAACCACGAGGAATCATTTAATTGCTAGTAGATTAAAGAAAGGAAGGTTTGCATTTATATAGCACTTTACCATAAATCTCAGAAGTGTCTCAAAGTACTTCAGAGACAATTATTTACATTGAACTGTGGTGGCTGCTATTACACTGCTAATCAAAGTGGCTTTTTCCCTGTGTCCAGCAAGATCTCATAAGCAACAAATACTTTTCAGTTTTGGTTGAGGGAGGACGTTAGCACTAGGAGGATTCCTTGCTCCTCTTTGATTATTTTATCGGGATCTAAGCATCACAATAAAACAGACAGGATCTGTGACAGTGTCATCAAAAGAGTCAAACAATAGGACATTTGTCAATACTAATGTAATCCTAGTCAGTTTATGGATTCATGTTCTGGGTTAACTTGTTAAGAAAAGACGTTGTGACAAATGATATCAGTTTGTATGTCTGGGTCAAGTTAATAGTAATTTTAATTAAATTAGAGACTTCTAAATCTAAAGCAAATAAAATGAAACTTGACCAGCTGTACAGACCCATTTTCTGCAGTGGGATCTACATATGACCACTATAGCTATAACTGAAGATCTGCTATCAATAGAAGCAAGATGTCAGTCTAATAATTGGCCTTTTGGTGGGTGTCAATGTCACTACAATCCATTAGCTGAAAATCACTTGTCATATAGAAACTTACCAGTAACATCTAATGAGACAGTGTCTTGCTCATCTTCAATGCCAATCATTACCTCACAGCGGTAAAGACCAGTATCACTTGCTCGCAGTCGGCAAATGGTTAGTGTTGCATCACTCAAACTCTCAGGATGCTTGGGCACTGCAACTCTACCATCATAATCAGCAGCAATTTTTATCACACCGTTCTGTGCCACCAGAATTAAGGTTTCTTTCTTGATCCTTCCATCTTTTCCTTCCTCAATTTTTGTCCACTTAATCCGAGGAAACTCCTGGAAAGAATGGTTGGAGGGTGAAGGTGTGGCCAGCATTGAATAGTGACACGGAAGAGATACAAAGCTAGAAAGGGAGCCTTTCACATGGGAACTCCTCTTAATCTTCATTCTCATCATCTTCCCACTATCGTGTGCTAAGGACAAAGAAAGAAAGAGTTGTCATTTGTAAATTAGGAACAGGTTGACTTTACCAAATCACTTCTACAGAAACAGAACATTTTTCTTGAAACAGAAGCCAGCTACACTTGGGTTCACCTTCACTCATTTCTTATTTTTAAGTTTCTGTCATTTGAAACTTGTCAGTGAAATGGATACAGGAGCTGCCAGTTCCTCAGGTTTAGTGGCGGTTTGAGCAGTTCTTGCTGGCCAGGAAGAGCAGGAGTACTCCCCCAGGCCTCTCAGTGGAGGTCTTTGATGTTCACCAACAACAAACACTAGGGTTCTTTACTCCCATATTTTGATTGCTGTTTCCATCACTACTATTTGCCAGGGACTGGCCCCAGGAATACCCAGCTAAACCCTGCTGCTGCTCGTGTCCATTTTCCCAAACAAGCCGTCCATCTGCCAAATTGCCATGCAGGAAGAGAAGGAATATTAATGAAGTTCTATTGTCCACAATCTCTAACCAGGTTCTTCAGCATTTTCTGACAGCACCCTGCCCTCCTCAGCTCCCCATTAGTATCAGTGACAAAATGTCTGTAGCAGCTGCAATGCATTTCCTCCCCAACCAATGCAGATGACTTAGAAAGAGCAAACATAGCACCTAGAGCCTTCTATGAGTATGCAATGAGGATAACTGGGCTGCTTGTCAGCTGTACATCATTGGCAGATGGAAGAACAGTTCTAATGCACTACCTGCAATAATGCTGTCTATGAGGAATATCCAGCTTTTAATGCCCAATTATGCTATTACCAGATCTTTATTTTTACTAGATTTTAAAATATCTAATATTGTTTCACCTAAGCACTTCAATATTGCTCCATTTAGAATATCGAAATTATGCAGTTTTCCAACTGCTATATTCTGGCTAATATCATTATCATTGAAGTTGTAAAATTATGTACAAATGTGGACTCCCGTATTACTTGCCGACTATTTGAGAACATTTATGGACAATAAAATGACTCTTATACATAATGATCTTTTAAACTTCATGCAAGCAGTGCAGAAACATAGGATGGAGCAAGAGCATACTGAGGTAATACTACCTTACCTGACTGTACTGACGATACTATTGTCAATGCGGAACATATCCACAGGGTATGCATTAAATGTAATATCATTTTGACCTAAAAAGAAAAGAAAACACATTGCCCATCAAATTGCACGACAGACTCTACTAAATAATTAACATTAAAACAGAGGAACATTGTACATCTTATGAATTCTTGAAAAATATTCACAGCTACACGATCTACTTCTGCCTGCAACTGAATATGCTGTTTGAGTACCTGCTTTCTCGGAATGAAGAGCTGAAAGTGATCAGCACTTACAATACACTGCCAACTCTCAAGATTACATGCAGTAAATTAAGTGTAGAACTATTTAATCATAGAAGTCAAGTAGCTGAACTACAGAGTAAAAGATAAATCAGAACCTGATAGAAATGGGAAACAGTTGAATACACTTGGAAAGTACTTCACTGAAATTGCCACACAGTCAGCTCTTTCATAGTGTGAGCTAATATGGGATGTTTCTTTCTGTGAGCCCTTCAATATAGTCAAGCAATTCAGTCATAATTAGTTTAAATACTGAAAGATTACAGGGGAATAAGAGGCATTCCTCATGTCAAGTGAATGCATCAAGTTTCCAGTGTAGCTACCCCAATGACAACAGAGCAATATCATGACAGGTTAAAGTTGCAAGTAATAAGGCCACAAAAATGATAGGATATCTAGTCAGGAAATGTTCAAGCAATTAGGAAAATCTCTTGAGAAAAGAACAAGTGGACTGAAGTGTATATGCTTAACAATTGACTGAGCAGCAATGTATTCAGACTTCTACCAAAATGAAGATGATAAAGGGTAAATGATGGTGTTGACCCTCAGAGAACCTCTGCTTGATCTAAATAATTTTCAACACAATCATCAAAAATCAAACAAATCATACAGGATTTCTATGTATTTGGTGTAAACATTCCAGCTTTCACATCCAATCTACTCAAGTAATGTAAGGAGAAAACAAACCCAAATCTCTACTTACTAATGTCAGTGCTGATCTGGAAAAAATCTTGAATACCAGTTGAAAAATGTAACTCAGAGTTCCATAGACAAGAATACAATAAGGATTGAACCAGAATTTAAAATGATATTTCTTCTCTATCTGGAAGATTCATTGGCTGGAAATGAATTTCAGGTCTAGTGACCCTTCCTCAGAACTGGGGAACTTCCAGTTCTGAGGGAGGGTCATTCGATTTCTCTCCACAGATGCTGCCAAACCTGCTGAGATTTTCCAGCAATTTCTCTTTTTGTCCCTTCTAGGGAATACTGACTTGGAATTGTATTGCTATCTTTTGTTGAATCAAACTCCTGGAATTCTTTCCTAACAGCACTGACTGTACCTAAACCACATGGACGGCAGTGAATAAGGCAGCTCACCACCACCTTCTCAAGGACAATTAGGGAAAAATAATAAATACTGCTCTTACCAGTGACACTCATGTGCCAACCATTAATAAGAAAGAGTCCATATTGAGATAGTTGAATTCAAGAAGTGCTGAAAGCAGCCTCTGCACACCCCCCACCCCAACCCCAGCTTGGACAGTACTTTTTTCTGATGTAAATTTCTTCAAAGTGGTTTTTGGTCTTCAGCTAGAGTAGCTGCACTTTCCAATGCCAAAATTAAAATGTTAAAATTTAGGAACAAGATACTTCAGAAATCTTAGAGCAAACAAGAAGACTCAGGAGCAACAATCAGACTAGAGACAGAAAGGATTGCATTTGTTGTTGGCTGGTTCATTTAAATATTTTGATTTTATTATCTACTGAGATTGACAAGACCAAAACCAGATAAACTAACTGCAACACTGTCCTAGGATAACAGGTTCCCCATTCACGACCCTAACCAATCCATATTTCAATACGTGAGCAATCATCTGAATATCCTCAAAGGCAGGAAGGAAAATAACAGGTAGTTACCAATTACTGAAAATGATTCATTATAGCAGTTCCCCAATGTTATCATAGAATTCCTTCAGTGTGGAAGTAGGCTATTCGGCCCATCGAGTCCACACTGACCCACAGAATAGCATCCCACCCAGACACACGCCCCTACCCTAACTCTGTATCCCTGCATTTCCCACGGCTAATCCACCTAACCTTCACATCCCTGGACACTATGGGCAATTTACCATTGCCAATCCTGACCTGCAAATCAAACCAGAGCATCTGAAGGAAACTCACACAGATATGGTCACAATGTGCAAACTCCACACAACTGCCCAAGGGTGGAATCAAACCCAGGTCCCTGGCACTGGGAGGCAGCAGTGCTAACCACTGAGCCGCTGTGCCGTCCTTATTGTACTATAAGGCATAGCTGGCAAAAATTCACAGGGCCATAGGCCAAGACGACTGATACAGTCACATTTACAGGAACAACTGAGAATGGGACTACAAGTATGGAAAACATGGCAAAGTAGGAGATGTTAAAATCTATTCTACAGAGTGATGTATTTTTTTTACTGTAGCAATGTAGAACCAGGTGTTATTTGCATGCCATAAGTTTTATTCCCAGTATTTGGGGCTGGAACTTTGAGAATTACCATATTGTTAGGTTAATTTATTTATTTTTACATAGCACTCTAGGCAATTAGTGAGACAAGCAAACTTAAAAGTAGATCTTTTCTAGTTAGTAGAGAATATACATAGAATGATGCAATGCAAAACTAGAAAGCAATTAACTATTTTGACAGACACATTTCTTAAATCTCATTTATTTGAAGAAGCAAATCATTTGTCCATAAAATGTCAGCTGCATAGTTGTTTAAATGAAAGCGAAATTATGAATGTTTCACCTTAAAAGCAGAAAGAAAGCATATGACATTTGCTAGAGACTTGTCCACAAACCTCAAAAGCCACATTCTCAAGGGAAGGCAGACAAAATTAAAGGCTTTGTAGGCTATTTCATTTCTGACATGAATCCAATAAAAACTTGCATTTATGTGTTGCCTTTAATGTGGCAGAGGATCCTAAATTCTTAACAAATTGGAGATGGGATGCTAAGTCACAATTACAGAAAGCACAGTTGAAAAGGTGGACTTGTGAGGCTGTTTTTGAAGTCTTAGGAGGAGCACACAGCATGGTAACTTAAGGGATGAAAGGTGATAAAAAATCAGAGTTAAAAGATTGAACAGTGAAAACGGAGAAACTGAATGAGAGGCAAGTTCAGAATCAGAGAGAAGTTAAAAAAAGGACTAATTTTTAATTCCGATTTCCAGCATCAACAATATTTTGTTTCATTGAAAGAAACAAGGACGGACATTGAACCATAAATTCCACATAGTAGATTGATAATGTGAAAACTGCATATATCTTGAATGCCATTTTAATATTTTACAAACACTGGTAAGGCATCATAGCTAGGAGATCTTTTAGATTTCTTTGTTCTCCAGGAATAATTTCAGTAGTAAAGTTAAATACATTCAGATGATTCTAATACCAAAACAAATGGAAGCAAACTGTTTTACCACATGGGTATTGCTCTTTTTGCACTATTAATAATCTCTGACAGGAGATCAGACATGAAAAAAAAAATCTCTCCTGTCAGAACTTGTAATGGGACTTAAAGGGATCAACTGAGGTTTCCCCCTAATGTGTAGCTCACCTGCTCCAAACTCTAAAATGTGAGAACTCTTTCAAGATGGAACTAATTCAAAGCACGCATTTGGAATGTGTATGTGACACCATGCCCAGTATGTCATGCATGTCATTATATTATATCAGAACAGCTGTATCATGTTTCATGGAGGGAAAGATTTAGCAGAAACATTTAATTACAAATTAGATTCACACTTTGGCTTCTTCTACCCTTAGCAGACCCCCACTTTCTGCCCTCACCTCCACTTCATGCAATTTAAAAAGATGGGCATGACTAGGCTTGCACACTCTTCTGCATTGGTATACAATTCCTATCATCTATACGTGACAAAATGAATACTATTTCTCATCACACCTGTCAGCACTGCTCCCTGTTCATAATGCCCCAGTAGTGATGCATTTTTTTGTGGCTCAGTATTCTCATGATAGATTTGCATATCAAAACGGTGGATAGAGGGAAGGTGTCAGCCTTTGTGTTTTCTTCCTGTGAAAGGGAGAAATGTTTGGAAAAAGAAATGTCTCTGTAATGAGAGATGGATCAGACAGGGTTTGAGAAGGAATGATATTGATGTTTTGTTCAATACGGATAAATCCAAATGCCACTTTTTTTCCAATTTTTTTAAGATTAAGGATCCATTAATTGTGATGTAAACTTGAGCTAGAAGCATTGAGAATGTAAAAACTCAAGATTTTCCAGGTAGATATGCTCCGGGACCCCTTTAATAAATATGCAGTAGTGGGTATAAGGTGGGATGCGATTGTTCAGGATTCTCTTAAGGTTAACATGCAGGTTCAGTTGGCAGTTAGGAAGGCAAATATAATGTTCACATTCATTTTGAAAGGGCTACAATACAACAGCAGGGATGTACTGCTGAGGCTGTATAGGGCTTTGGTCAGGCTGCATTTGGAATACTGTGAGCAGTCTTGGGCTTCATATCTAAGGAAGGATGTGCTGGCTTTGGAGGGAGACCAGTGGAGGTTTATAAGAATGATCCCAGGATGGAAGAACTTGTCATGTGTGGAGCGGTTGAGGCTGGGTCTGTACATGAGTTTAGAAGAATGAGGGGGATCTCATTGAAACTTACAGAATACTGAGAGGCCTGAATAGAGTGGACATGGAGAAGATGTTTTCATTAATAGAACAGACTAGAACCCAGAGACACATCCTCATGGTGAAGGGATGACCCTTTAGAACTGAGATAAGGAGGAATTCCTTCTGCCAGATGGTGGTGAATCTATGCCACAGAAGGCTATGGATGCCACGTCTTTGAGTATCTTTAAGACAGAGATAGATAGCTACTTGGTTAGTAAGGGGATCAAGAGTTACAGAGAGAAGGCAGGACCAAGGGGTTGAAATACATATCAATCATGATCGAATGGTGGAGCAAATTTGATGGGCCAAATGGTCTAATTCTGCACCTATATCTTTTGGAAATGAATAACATTTTAAATTTGGTGCCTTCTCCACAATTGTA